AAGAAGAGAAATCTTGAAAATGTGCACGCGTAGATTTTGTTTGTTTGTCGTTTGTCTTTGTTGTTGTCGGCTGCGTGTGTCGCAAGGATCTGTGCGTCGAGGTCGTCCTTGAAGCACAAAGGACGCGCATCTTATGAATGGCCAGCACAAATGATTTGAACAAAAAGGAAAAAAAAAAAAACTGCAGATCACTGCAAGTGCGCGTCGCATTGTGCTGTTGCCTGATCCTCGGCTGGGACCATTGTCCTGCCCTGACTTTCATTCATGGGCGATTCAAAAACTTGCCATTGCAATTGTTGGCTATTTAGAGTTTTGTATCCTTGCCATTGAGTGGGACGTGGCGGTAAACCGCTTTGAAATGTTTCTTATGTTTTAGCTGATTTGGTGCAGCGGGAATAAATTATGTTTTATTGCAAGTATTACTTGTGTCTTAATGATTATTTAAACAACAGCATTGTGCAGCCACATCCCCATTTAATGGGACCGCACACACTCGACCCTGGCCCGGGGCCAATTGACTGACAAACACGCAAAAGCGGAAAGAAACCCTGATCGCTAAATGGTGCAAAGCTTCCTGTTAATTTATTCATATGCACACAATAGTACGTGAAACTACTTCAGCAATAATGAAGTCATATTTGTTAAATAAACAACAAAACCAAAGTACACACGAAAAACAAACCCTCAAAAGTGCGCTCAGCTTTTTTCAAAGGATAAAGAGAAAGAGAGAGAGAGAGAAAGAGACTGAATCGGACAGCAAAGTCGCAACAATGGCAACAACAAATCAGTCAAATGCATATGTCACAACCAATTAATGTCAATAAACGATGCTGATTCCCGAGTGCCGATTCCAACTCGAGTCTCATAAAAGGCAAACAAACGGAGCGCTCTTCAACTTCCTCCAGGGGTGGTTCCACAATTCAGCTCAACTCAGCTCAGCTCCCATGGCTGCCATATTCCCGCTGCTTATGCACACCCCTTTCTTTCCAGAATCCGGTTTGATGTATATCATTTGGATTATATATGTGTAAGTGTGTGTGTGTGTGTGTGTCTGCTAGTTGGATATGCTCTGAGCTATAAAGTGTATTTCGTTATGCTTTCATTTGTTCAGCGTTTATGCGAGTTTTGTTCACAATTAAAATGAAATTGCTCGCTTGAGTGCCTCAGCAGTGATGCACGCACATGAGGGTTCAGATACAAATGTATCGCTTTTTATTCAGAAGCAGTATCTTTGGAAACAGACAACAGCTTTTTAAATGAAGCCAACAAGAGCTGGCGCTGCATAGTCAAGGAATTAATTAATTGTTTCGAGATCTTAAGGTTCATATATACACACATATATACATTTGTAATTGGTCGCAGCAATTAATAACACCTAAATAAACTGTTCTAAAAAAGAATTCCTGCGAATTTAAAAACACATTTTTTTCTTGTCATGCTGGACTTAATGTTCAGACTCAATTGCTTAAGCTTGCGGTTAAGAGTGATTTATATAAATACTGGAGATACTGATTATGCCCCTTACCCAAATGGCAACAAATGTATATAAGCATCTATGACTCCAAAAAGTAAATATATTATTAATTAGCACAATGAGACAAGTTGATCTAACATATACATATCCGTTCAACTATCCATCCTTTTGCCTCGTTTTGAAAAACGGCTGAGACTGAACTTGCTTTGTAGACTCTCCTATACCATATCCCCTCCCCCGATACAGCATTTCGTCAATAATGTTCATGTTTCCCAAGCTGCATAACCGGAACGTCCAAAGACAACGTGGTAGTTATAGCATATATTACAATTCAGAGATCGTGCTTAATAGCCAAATCTATGTATCGTTTGCCACCCTAGTCAAGCAGATTTATGCTCATTACTTTTCCGAAGAAGACGTTTATTAGATATTATCCAAGCTTCTTTATAAATAATATAATATAGTCTGCAGATGCTTCAAAGAATAAACTTGTTTTATTAGATATTATTCTAATTTAATTCGATTTTTCCATTCAAGATTAATTAGCTTATACAACTGAAATTATAAGATTCATAAATATATAATATAATATAGTCTGCAGATGCTTCAAAGAATAAACATGTTCTTCAACTTCATCATGTTTAATTAAACATTTTTCATTTCATTATAATAAGAAGCAAATATTTGCATATGAAATAAGCTACAGCTTCAAACAAGAAACCCACGTGGGTGAATCGAGAGCTCTTCGGCTGCTCATACCTTCATTCAGAAGTAAACAAAAGGGCAGAATCAATAGCACGATCTGTTTCAGATCCCTGCCCGATTACAAACTTATGTTCAATCGAGCGTGAAGACTACAATTCATTAAATGCTCAACTAAATGCCAGAGCCAAAAAACAACGGAAGTGGTCAAAGGAGAGCTGGCACTACAAACTCAAGTGGCCGGCAAGAAAAAAACAAAAGGCGGGTCGCACAAATGGTCGAGGCACGAATTAATCCGAGCACGAGACCGGCGTAAGGTCCGCCAAAAAAAAAGGAAATTCCAAAAAATTGGTGCAAAAATCACCAAGCAGCTGGCAGTAGCAGCAAAAATTGATAATGCCCAAAAAAAAAAGGACAACGATCGAGCAAGGAGCATGCCAATTAAGCAGAAGCCAATGTGGCAACAAAGCCTCCTTGCACGTCTCCTCTGCGTAAAAAGTAGGCGAAAAATCGCCCTACAGGCCATACAATATGTCTAGGAATGCTTGGAGTGCGGAATAACAATTAACTCTGGTAATTGTGCACAATTTTATAGCCACTTAACATATGATAAAATATCATTGAAGTGACAGAGAAATGGTTCGACACCTTCGCATTACGCACCCAGACAACGGCCAGACACAAACAACACAGAAGAGACAACTGCCAAATGCAGAGTAACAATGCACTCAAAAGGACAATTACAGCAAATCCTTAAAGCGGAGTTAACAAATGATAAAACTGCCGCCATTATTCTATGTAATGTAACCCAAAAACAAAATTGTCCCTCGCCAGCCATTCGGCGACACAACGTCTGCTCCTTACCGAGGTCCCGCAGCAAATCACGACACAAAGGCGCAACGTGTGTCGCTTACACACACACACACATACACACATACACACATACACACACGAAATGAATGAAGGACTGAATGAGTGAAGGAATAAATGCATGAATGGGCCAAGTTTGATGCATGTCTTGCGCATTGTTAGCCGACTTTTGGATAGAAACACACACGAAGAGAATACATCAATAAAAACATGTTAAGGCGACAATGCGCTGAGCGGGCCACTTGGCCAGGCCAATAAGTTGGTATGAAATTAGGATTAAACGGTTGCGGGCTGTGCATTTTCTAAGGAATTCATAGAATAGGGTTTCGTCCAGCTATATTCGGGCGAGTTTTAATGCCACTCTACTTATTGTGTAATGTTGCCCAATTTTTAGCCAAACACATTCTTCGGAATTTGCCAAATTTTGCAGAGCACACGATTATTTTTGTAAGTTAAATTGTGATTTGCGATGCGAAAAATGTTTACTTATTCAAAGGAGATCATTAAGTTAAAATAATAACAAAAAAAGAATTCAATTAATAAGTAATTCTTGAGAAGAAAAGCTCCCCCATAGCCTTATACATACGTGTACATGAGTTGTCCAAGTTTTCATTCGCTTCAACTCTCTATTGAGAAACAACAAGTTTTTCCAAGACTACACTCAACCTCCTCCTTATGAATTTTATTTAAAACTGCTTTTCGTTCACAACATTCTGAATACAAGTATCGGAAAAAGTTCCTAAAATGCGGCATTGAATCATCCTAAGCACAACAAAGTAAAGCTTGCTATCCTTAGAAAGAGTTTTAAATTATAAACTGTTTTTAGGCATCCTTCATTCCCCACAAAACCTTCAATCGAAATAATCATAAATATCACTGATTATTTCCGTACACCTTTTTTGTTGATAATGCTTTATTTATTATTATTTATTTATTTTTCATTAAAATTTTATTTAATGTTCTTGCTTTCCGAAGAAAGAAGTAAATTGGTTAGGCATCAAAGTAAATAAATTCAAATAATACTTTGGACGTTCTTCTAGGGCACGCCATTAACCAAAAACATACTTTGGACAAGCCGGAAGGTCTTGGGGTTTACAATTTCCGTGGTAGACAAGCATGAAATATTATAAATACATAAATATAATTTAAGACTCACCCGATCTTCATTCTTTTTTTTTCGTGACAGCTCAAAGCTCTATAGCTCTATAGGCGCAGATTTCCGAAAGTCTTAAGATATGACTTACCGAATCCACAAACTGGCATTGACTCCAGGTAGAAGGTGTTCAGGTATTGCAATCATTGCCGGCAATCATTGAAAGGGAATCGGAAGCTGAAATTTAAATCTTTTGATTAATAATGTTGTAGCATTTTTATAAAAATACAAATTCTCAAAAACAATGTTAGATAGAATTTCATCTTCAACATCTGAAACAAATGTTCTTAGAAAAACTCTACGCTCCGTCTGTCTCCTCGTCTGTCTGTCTGTCTGTGTGCATAACACCTATAATCTCAGAAAGTATGGAGTTTGATTACCCAAACCTGGTATCCTCATTCTCCTATTCCCTAGAAGTGACGAGTTTGAGTTTTTCCCCTTTTGATTCAATTAATTTAATTTTAAACATTTTTGGTTTGTTTTTGTGGGATGGGTACAGAGTATTTAAGAGTTGAGCCCGCTCGTCTATAGCATTCCTTTCGTGTTTCAATCTATATAACTATTCTACATTGCCTAAAAGAACAGCAATCTTGGTTCCATTAAATGATCCCTTGATTAAGTTATATTTACACACTCTTCATAAATGTATCTCGTACGCTCTAATTGAAAACCTTTCAAATATGAATTCGACGCTCCACAATTTTAAAAATCTTTTTAATATGCTTCATGCAGTAATAAAAAAAAGCAAGTTGCCAAATCTTCAATCGAAATAATTATAAATATCGCTGACTATCACAGTAATTCTTTCTTCTTGAATATGCTTTATTTATTATTCAAATTTTATTTAATGTTCTTGCTTTCCCAAGAAAGAAGTAAATAAGTGATGCTTGCTTCCCCAAGAAAGAAGTAAATAAGTGAAGCATCAAAGTAAATAAATGCAAATTTTACTTTGGACGTTCATTTAAGAAACGCAATTAACCAAAAATAGGCCTTGGACAAGCCGGGAGGTTGTTGGGTCTACACTCTGATTTGTAGACAAGCTTGTATCCTTAAAAAAAATCATTTAAACTCTATAAATACAATTTATTTATTTTAGACCCACCTTGCCTTCCTGCTTCTATTTCCTTACAGCTCACACTATCAAATATGCACTCATTTCCGAAAGTTTTATAACATGACCCATTGAATCCACAAACTGGACGATAAATAAGATGGCAAATTTCATTGCACTTGGCGGCAATCATCGAAATGGCATTAGAAGCTGAAATTTAAATCTTTTGATTAATAATGTTGTAGCATTTTAACAAAACTGCAAATACCCAAGAGCAGTGTTAGATAGAGTTTCATCTTCAAATCCAAAATACCAATGAAGAATTAAATATAACGAGATACGTATTTATTTGAAATAATATCAATAGTTGGCGAGACCGTTCGTATTCGATACGTATATTAACCTTAATATCTGAAGCAAATGTTCTTAAAAAACACAACGCTCCCTCTGTCTGTCTGCATAACACCTAGAATTTCAGAAAGTATAGAGCTAGATTAACCAAACCTCGTATCCACATTCTCCTATGTCCCTAGAAGTGACGAGTTTGAGTTTTTCCTGTTTCCCCTCACTCCCTTGCTATTATTTATTTCTATAATATACATTTATTCTTTTGAAACTGTAGTACTCTATGTACATGTTACTTACTTTTAAATGTTTAAATATGATTCAATTAATTTAATTTTAAACATTTTTGGTTTGTTTTTGTGGGATGGGTACAGAGTATTTACGAGTTGAGCCCGCTCGTCTATAGAATTCCTCTCGTGTTTCATCCTATATAACTATTCTACATTACCGAAAAGAACAGCAATCTTGGTTCCATTAAATGATTCTTAGATTAAGTTATATTTACACACTCTTCATAAATGTATGTGGCACGCTCTAAATGAAAACCTTTCAAATTTGAATTTGACGCTCCACAAGTTTAAAAATCTATTTAATATGCTTCATGCTGTAATAAAAAAAAGCAAGTTGCCGAATCTTTAATCGAAATAATTATAAATATCACTGACTTTTTTTTTGGTTGAATATGCTTTATTTATTATTCAAATTTTATTTAATGTTCTTGCTTCCCCAAGAAAGAAGTAAATCGGTAAAGCATCAAAATAAATAAATGCAAATATTACTTTGGACGTTCTTTTAAGGAACGCAATCAACCAAAAATAGGCCTTGTACAAGCCGGGAGGTCGTAGGATCTTCACTCTGATCTGTAGACAAGCATGTAACCTTAAAAAAACATTTTAACATTTAAGTCAGAGCACCCGACTGTAGCTTTTCCATTTCGGCGGTGGATCACTTGATTTGTTTCCTTATGTTCCTCATCTCGACAGCTTCAGCAGATTCTTCATAAATTTATGCTACCGGCCTAAATAATTACCGTTTAATTCGACACTCCACAACTTTAAAAATATATTTAATATGCTTCATGCTCGATAAACAAAAAAACAATTTAGCAAACCTTAAATTTATAAATATTTATAAATATTACTAACTGTCCCAATAAACCTAAACAACTGTTTTTAGAATAAAATGTGAAAATTTTCACGTACTATACCAACCGTATCCTAGGAATAGTCAGATCCTGAGAAAGGAAGAAATTGCAATTTCAAAAGTGCAATAAGTGTAATCAATAAAAAAATATTACTTTGGACGCCCACTAGTTTTTTTTTTTTTGACAGTTTGGACTGTCCTTAGATTTACAGAATCCCTCGTGGGAAATTTTGTATTCTTGAAAAAAGAAAATCAAATAAACTCTGTACACTTTAATGAATTTATTGGTTGCCCACCTGGCTTTCCTGATTCTTTTAGCTTGCTGTTGTCCTTTCGAAGGCTGCACTTATTACCAAATGACATAAAACATATGCCATTGTGTCCACAAACGGGATTTCGAATATAGCTGCAAATATCATGGTGATCTGCGGAAATCGAAGAGATGGCAGTGGAAGCTAAATTGCAAATGTATTATTAAATCATTTCATTTTAACAAAACTGCAATTTTATTGAAATACTCAAGAGCAAAAGGAGGTACAGTGCCATCTTCAAATCGAAAATACCAAATTAGAATGCAATGCCACGAGATGTGTATTTATTTAAATAAAATCAATGCAAATATCTTGTAATAGGCGAAACAGTTACTATTCGATACGTATATCGTATATTTATTCTGGAACAATTGCTTTTAAAACGACCTTTGGATACACTAATGGGCTGATATTTGTTTTCTATGGTATTTGAACTAAATGGAACCACGATATCCTATAGCCATGATATCATGACAGAAGCATAATTGAAAAAATGTCATGGATATCATAAAATTTTATAATTGTTTTTTTTTTTTTTTTAATATCTATATGTTTTTGTTTGCATTTTAAAACCAAGGAATTCACTTTTTTAGTACTTTTATATTTTTGAAGATTCAAAAATGAGGTTTCGCTTGGCTTTTTGCAGATATCACGAATTCTTCAATTTGTGGTAAATGATTTAAAACGTAGGTTTTTTATTGTTCTTTAACCGAATTGTGTTTGAGTATATTCCGAAATTATTTGAAACAAAAGAACTGCTTTCCACTCAGAAACCGAAAAACTGTTTTGTGTTAGGAATGCAGAGTAAGAACAGGTCAGCAATTTTCAAGTTTCAATTTCAACAACTAAGCCTAATTTATATCATAAATATGTTTTTAACTTCATGTAAAATAATCAGTGTATTCTATTATACAAATACTTCCTAATTGATGATAAATTTCCTAAATTAGAAGAGAACATAATTGGATGTTTTACTAAATATGTGTGTTTTTTAATAGACTTGGACTTGTGTTTGATAATTAAATAAAAATGCTTATCCTGTGATGAATGGAAATGGAATGAAAAACCGGCATCTATATTTCATATTTCTTCACTCCTAGCACTCTTCATTTAAATTCAAAAACTGCGACTCAAGTTCTATTAAGTTCGAATTCATAAGCCTTTAGAGAATGTGGAAGTTTTACGCTGCCATGCAGGAACGCATTTGGAATCGCAGCTCGCGCCATTATGTTGGCAGGCCACCTTTTGAAAAACTAGTCGTATGCCCATGGACACAAACACACGCTTACCTGCCATTGTGAAGGATCTTTGAGGCAAGGGCGGAGCGTGAATGGCAACAGTTGCTGTCATTAGAAGGACTCGGCCTGTGAATGGTGACTTAATGGCTAAGGAAAAACAAGCAAACAACCCTCAAATTAGATGAGGTTGCGGTAGGAGAGGCAACTGCACCGCTCACACTCGCACCACCACAGCTAGAACCGTTGTCCAGGGGTGGTGAGCGAACAACCCCTGCCAGAGCTCCGTCTATATAAAGAGAAGGGCGCAGCTTGTCTGTCAAACAGTTCAACTCTGACAGCGATCGTGTTCAGTGCTCGCCCAACTCAACTAACTTCCAGTACATATTTTGCGATTTGAAAAATGTCGCGCTCCTTTCTCATGGACTCTCTGCTCAGCGATATGCCGCCGCATAGCAAAAAGGAGCCTCTACGTTCGCCCACGGCTGCGAGCGCAGCTGCCGCCGCCGTTGCTGCCGCAGCCATGTTGCCGAATATCCCGATGCTGCCATATCCAGCCAGCTATGTGGGCAGCTACCTCTTCTCCCTGGGCATACAACAACAACAGCAGCAACAACAACAGGCAGCCGCCGCTGCAGCCGCAGCCCTGCAGCAGCCCCAAGCATCCTTATATCATCCGTACGCCCAGCTATTTGCGCCCAAACGCAAGTCGAGCAGCTTCGGCAGCTTCGACAACTGTTATCCTTCGCCACCACTCTCCGCAAACGCCACCAGCGCTGCCCCTCAGCTCCCACTGCCGGTGATGCCACCCACCAGCATGTACAGTGGGGCGCACAACCTGCCTCTGCCCGAGCCCGGCAGCTTCTGCACCTCGCCTTCAGCCTCCTCGTGTGCCTCGTTGGACTTCAACAATCACGACGAGCCGCAACTGAAACGCTTCAAGCACGAGTCCTCCTGCTCCCCCGCCAGCTCACCCATCAAGACGCAGAACACAGCCAACCAGCCAGCTGTGGACATCACGCCCCTTATCAGCGACTATGCGGACTCGAGCAAACGCATTCGGACGGCCTTCACCAGCACGCAGCTGCTCGAGCTGGAGCGCGAGTTCTCTCAGAACGCTTATCTGTCGCGCCTGCGCAGAATCGAGATTGCCAACCGACTGCGTCTATCAGAGAAGCAGGTGAAGATTTGGTTCCAGAATCGTCGCGTCAAGCAGAAGAAGGGCGGCTCAGAGAGTCCAACTCTATTCAATATGTCTGCGAACTCCAGCAGTCCGCTCGCCTCACCAAACTGTGCCTGCAAGCCCGATCAGCAGCAGCAGCATCAGGATAACAAATGCTGTGAGGTGAAAGCTAGTGCCTAGAGTTACTCAGCTCTCTCCCAATCGAAATTGTATGATAGCTGTACAGCCAATTAGTCTTAAGTGTTGAGCAATTATACCTAGCCTTAAAGCATCAAATAAACTTTAGTTGAATTAAACAAAGCGCTGATCTTATTATTCAAAACGCTTTTTAGAGTTTTTGATTTACCACTCAAGAACTTGATGTGTCAATGGTAAAGGAACCTGTTTGCACTGTTTAGGTGTCCTTTTCAAGGAATTGTTGTTCTGTGGTGCTAGTATCTTTTTCTCAACTGGTTAATAGTTTGCACGACCCATCGAGAATACTCATGATTAGCTCTGGAACACCACACAAATAATTGGCCAACTCATCAGCGGCTCGAGCAAGTTGTCTTAGATTTTCTTTGACGAATATTTGTAAATCTTTACCAATTCTAAGATCTTTCAATATTTTAACTAGATTATAATTATAACTAAATTATAATTCCGATCCTTATGGGATAAACATTTTTTCATAATCCGAATCATCTCATGGATTCGATCAACGATATGCCCATATATGTACTTTATGGAATGGAAACTTTATAAACATGATACAAAACATATATTTAGTTTTATATTTTGGCTACCGAGTATACTTATATTTTGTTTCTACACCTGAAAGGTATGTAAAATTGTAGCAAAGCCAGCTTAATAAGATTTCATTATTGATGTCCGTTCGTCCATTTGGCCGTCAGTCCAATTGTAATATCATTTGCACGAAATCGAATATTTATTGGATTTCCGTAATGCCTTGCTATATGGTAAAGTCTCATCAAAATCAACTCAAAGTATTATATAGTTGATAACTATTAACGATCGCCGCACACATAACACTGAGTTAAAACATTAAGACATTGTCAAATAAACTCTCCTTAATAAAAGAATAAAACTAGACAGGATTTGTATGATTGACTGTTGGCTGCATTCTCTTGTGAAGTTTACGAGTATGCGCTTAATTTCAGAAAAAAGTTGTACTACAATTTCCTGTTCCACATTTATTATTTTAGTGCAATATTTAAAAAAGTTGACTGTAAATTAATAGGAAACAGCTGTATAGACATAAATCGATAAATCGATTACGATGCAAGCATGATGGATATTAATCGGAATAGAAGTAACAAAAAATGACTAAATCACCTGTCAGCTTTTGTCTTCCTCCTCCTTCCCACAAACAAAGAAACGCCGGCAAATTTACGCGATAGTTCCTGAGCAGAATCCCTCGTGTTAGTGGGACGCGTGCAACCTACTTTGATTTATAATTTTGCGAGCAAAATATCCGTTCAAATTCTGCAGACTGACGAATACGGTCACACAAATTTCTATGAGTAATCCCACCCGCAGGTTAGAGTGGTAGTTTTATCTGCAGAATTAAGTTTGATGTCAAAATATTCTACAGTGTATTGGAGTTTCAAAAATGCATTTTAATTGTCGACTTTTTAAAATGTTTGGTCCGTCTACGGATTTCCAATTGAGGAACATTTAGTGCGTAATACAAACCCTAAGCAGTTGCCGGAATACCCCAATTATTAAAAGCCCAATAAATACTCGTTACCAAGTGACAGGAGCCTGTTCTATTTGTCAAATGGACTCGTTTCGTACAAAATTGTCAATTGCAAGCGACAATATATCGACTGCGCTGGTGAACAAATTTCCAAACACAATTATTCATAAATTTTTCGTTTCTCTTCTGCCATGTCGCATTACTACAAGGAGCTAAAGAGCGAGTGGGAGAAGCGTGCCCCGAATCTGGCTCGGTGCGGTCAGCTGCTGGACGTGTTGAAGCTGGAGCTGGTGCGGGTGGGTTTCGCCAGTCCCCAGGAGGCCCTGCAGCCCAAGTCGCAGCAGCAGATGGTCATGTCCCGCGACATGCTGGAGATTGCTGTCGAACACAGCATCACCGTCAAGGACTATGCTGCCTTTGAGCGCTATATGGCCCAATTGAACATGTACTACTACGACTATGACAAGTATCTGCAGGCCTCGTCACAGATGTACAAGTTTCTGGGCCTGAACCTGCTCTATATGCTGGCCCACAATCGTATCGCCGACTTTCACATTGAGCTGGAGCGTCTGCCGTCGGCTCTTCTGCTGGAGAATCCGTTCATACAGCCCGTGCTGGCCTTGGAGAACTATTACATGGAGGGCCGCTACAACAAGATATTGCAGGCCAAGCGATCCATGCCCTCGGCCATCTATGCCAGCTTCATGGACATGCTGGTGAACACGGCTCGCGACGAGATCGCATCCTGCATGGAGAAGTCGTACGATAAGATGTCGCCAAAGCAGGCGGCCCTGCGTCTCGGCCTAAAGCCCGGTGGTGCTGACGTGGCTGCCATAGCCAACAAACGCAGCTGGCCACTCGACGATCAGGGAAACTATAACTTTATTGGATTGCACACCAAGCCCAAGGAGATGGTCTCGGCCAAGGAAATTGCCGGGAATACCTTAACCTATGCCCATGAGTTGGAGAAAATTGTTTGAATTGTTTCAGAGCGAAATAAAACTAATGTCTTTTCTATTCGCATCAGGCAGAAAATGTAGCCTCGTTATCTGTGCACATTTTTTGATGCGTTGAACCGGAAATTTGTCAGATTTAATTTTCACACATTTCACTGCAAAATTCGTTCGCATAAAATCCGCAAAAATTGAGTTCGCCAGGCAACTAAGTCGACAGGCGTGCCAAATTCCAAGTGAAGGCAGCAGCGTACGGACCAAAGGATCAAAGGCAATGAGACAGCCATAGAATTGCTATTCGTAGGCTTTTAGGCTGCAATTTGAAAGTACGTTTGCATGTCCAAAAATATGTTGCTTCCAAAAATATTTATTTAATGCGCACTGTTGCGGAGATATTCATGGCAAGATATTTGAAAAATAGTTTAGAAAAAAGTTGTTTAACAACGTATCTTTTATTCAACGTATGGCTATACTTTAAACCCATCAATGGATGCGACTGCCGATGGACAGTCGTTTGTAACTGATTTGCAAAATAGTATAGTGTATGAAATAACTAATAAATAAATAAATAATAAATATGGTGTATGAACCTAAAATAAAGCAAATGTGAAATAAGAAGCAAGAATAGCACGCTAGACACAGCAAGATATGCTGCAGGCTTTCAGTTTAAATAGACATAAATCGAATCTTCATACACAACTTATATACAAGTAATATAATTGTTATATGAACAATATAACATAGTGCCCCATGGGGCCCGAACTAACAAAGAATACGTTAACTTAAAGAAAAAATAGCTTACGAGTATATTTCTCTGTATAGCAGTTATCCTTGTAGATTAGTACCCATTCTTTATATTTTTTATCAGGAGATTCGGAAACATTGAGATTCCAAAAATAGCCTAAACCGCATACTCTAGCTATTCAACTTCTACTGCGGCACAGTTTTTTAAAGCCTGGAAGTAATTTGAACTGTTTCTCAAAAATCTTGTCCAAAGCAATAACAATTATTATTTATAATAAAAATATAATAAACGCATTTGTCACAAAATCTGTTTATTTAATCAGTGGAATGCTGAAAAATTAGTTCCGTTTGATTGGCCTATTTGATGCTTTTAAAGGAATCGCGTCATTCGTTTTGGGCATTGCTTCTCCTGTCATACTTGATATTCGTAATTTATTTTTATAATGCCAGTCATGACTGTTATTTTTCCTTATTATATTCCCCGTTCAGCCGATTTTAAAAATAGAGAATAATGTTAAACGTTTTAGGAAATCGACACAAATTCAATTCGGCCTGCGTATTATAAATTCGTCATCAAGAGCAACTAACTTCCCGCTGGCCGAAGACTTCCAGTCAGTCTAGTAACACGTATAAGTTTGAAATTCCAAAAGCCAGAATCATACCTCATATACTTGTAGTATTATGAGAAGATAATGCCATATCATAAGAGTTAGGCTGTCGCCACACACTCAAGATAGAGACGTCGAAACTGATGACACTCCTCATGAAAAGCCGCCTTAGAAAAGCTATTGAAATAATCCTGTCCGGCAATGCGGTGGTTAACTCATTAGTTGCAGTTTCCATTACAGGCTTAAATCGGCTCATTGTCGATTGAAGCATGAGGCTAATTACATAAGCCATTCAGATAGACATTTTTCAGTCGAGAATATGATTCTAAACGCCTGTGAAAGGTCAGTTTATTTTTTTAGTTTGAACTTGAAATAGTGAGTAAAAAATATATTACTTCAAATTAAAAAGCAAACAGTCATGTCCTTCAAGCTGCATGTCCTTTGACATACATATCGAATTGTGTGGTCTGTCTGCTCAACCGCAAAGTTGTCAGGGGCGAGGCATAAATTTGTTGAATCACGGCCATTTGCGAAACATTATTAATCATTTCTGGATCGGCGATTCATTCACCTTTTCCCACGACACTTAAAACTGTCAAACTAACGAGCAAATTGAGCGAAAATCCCCGACCTTTGAAGGAATTGCACAAGTGATATTGCAAAAATCGTGCCTGGATCATAAAAAGCCGCCAATTCCGATGCTTATCATTAGCTTGCACAAATTAACAACGAGTTGTGGGCATATATGTATCTGTACGGGTCGATCAGTGTATTCAGTTGCAGTTGGGACCAACCCAAAACGAATCAAGCGCAACAAACCTGCCCGACAAACTCATCCACGCACTCATTCAACAGAGGGCATTACGAGAAAGAAAAAACTCAAAAACAATTGACAACGATTCTTCAATGAATGGCACGGCCTTTGTGGACATTTGAAAGCGATGTGCGATGTGCCCGATGCCAGGGGTGCGGTGCTAATAAACGCAATTGCACCTACGCCCCTCTGTGTCTCTGTGTCTCTGTGTCTCTGTCTCCGACTCCGTCACCATGTCTCTATGGCCCAGTCGGCGGTTTTAAACGGAATTCCTATGGACTGTTCTGCAACTAATTTTGTTTTTGCTCAGGTAGTCCGAAACAATCTCCCGATGTCGATCGTTATCCACCTATGCAGTCTTGGTGTTTCAAGTGTGCGCCCACTTGAGCTGAAGAGCTCGACTCTTGAGTCTCAAGTGCTGCTGCAGGTAGGAGGCAAGTACACCTACATGGGTATCTTGTCCTTCTGCAATGTCCTGTCTGAGTTGTGCAAACTCATGGCAAAATCTATCAGACGACACACTACTGTGTGACAGATTTTGCTGGCAATTGAAACTACTTTGAAACTCTTTTTACCGCTGGTACTAACTATATGAATTCATATTCATATTTTAGACAACAGAAATGCTTTAAAAATGATGATCAAATAAATTTCATTTCCAAAATCGTTTTGCAAATGAATGCTAATGCGGTAATCACGCCTGTCCGATTCTGAAATTCCAAAAAATAAAAGAAACTCTTCCTTTCTCGGACCTAGGAGAATCTGGATGCTTGCGTTCATCCAGACAGATGGACAGACGGACGGACGGACGGACGGACGGACATGTCTAGATCGATTCGTCTAGTCTCTCTTAAGATTATATATACTGTATGGGGTCGGAGGTGCTTCTGCCTTTTTTACCCTACGGGTATAGGGTATAAACAGTAATTACTTTTATTTTAAAGAAGGCATTTACAACTTTAATAATTGTTTTGACCATCGACATCCTTTCCACGTTAAACATATTTTATTCATGGATTTGATGAGTGCTATAAGTTTAGATGCTGTAGTCGATTCCATTCTTTCAAAAAAAACACTATTTTTAAGACCAACAATACTAATCTAACACCTACATACAAAAGCTTGTTTTAACGGATTCAAGATCCGGGGAGCATGTGGCTGAGTGCATTACTTTAACGGATCAATTCTGAAAAACTCCCATATCTTAATTAGCTCCCATATTTTTACTTAGCAAAAATGCAACGTTTGTGTTCAAGCAAAATTAAGTGATGGTAATACTGTCAAAAATCACGTAATTTTAAATGTAAATTGCTTATAATGCTTTATAAAACACATTTCCCAAATGTTTCCAAAACAAAAGTTTTTGGTATAACGAAGAAACTTAACCTTCATCTATCTACCATTTGCTGGAAAAATCGTGAGATTGTGAACAAAATTTCAACCCGTTTGATATTAAATGCATATTAAATTTTAATGTATATTTAAGGGAACAAACTTGTTTAAATAAATAAATATTTTGTAGTCATAATATTTGCATAGATTTGTACACAAAGATTCATTTCATTCAATAATGAACGGAAAATTTGATAAGTATTTGAGGCTTTTTGGGGAACCAATTATTTCAAACACAAAGGTTCTTTTTGAATATATGTGGTATTAAAATTTTTTTGATAAAACCTTTTGCCAAGATAAGACATTTCTTTAAAGATTTTTATGTCTGTAGTATCCGTCATTATCAACTGAATGGCTTAATGTGCCAATTAGGTGACATCTGTTGAATTTTACACTTTTATTTTTTATAATTTTACGTAACATTAAGTCCGGTTTCTCAATGTCTGTTCAGAGTTTCTTTATAAGATTTGGACGCTTTCCAGATAATTACGTAGTTCATTTTGCAATAAAAATCCACCAGTACTATCACATTAGTTAATTTCCTGTTGTCGAGCCGATTTTTGCAAACTCTCGCTATGCTGCCCGACTTGAATCTCTTCGACCAGATGTCCCATCATTTTTGTCTACTTCAGCACCCGTAGAGCAGTGCACAGGTTGGAAGACTCCCGCGTAGAGAGTCTGTTGACCAGAAAGCACAAACACTTCATGAATGAATGCCAACTCAAGTGCAGGACCTCTTCACTTTCAAGTGCATTCACGCGCTCTCTCCGGAAAATCGATGCCTTCAGGTTGCACGAAGAGTCGCATGCGGGGTTTCTTCTTTTCTAATTTCTCATGCTCCTTATGAATGAAACTGCACCACCAAGTTGTCCGAGCGGACCTTAAATTGTACATTGTTTGGTGCCGGGTGGGAAATTCCCTCGCCTTGTTAAAAGATCATTAGCCGAGGCGTTGCTGCAGTCAGTCAGTTTGTAATTCCGCTGAAAATGCCCTAAAAAGGCGAGAGGCTCTACCTGAGCCGGGGTTTCGTGTCAGGTGTGCAGTCTGCGATCGTCCAGACAGTCTGTCGCCGCTCAGTTCCCTGTTCTCTGCGATGGATTCGAGCCCGCCCGTCGTTCAACGAGCTGTGGTCTCAAGTGTTTAATTTGAATTTGTGCCTTTTGCGTGCACAGGCAAATTTTTTGGAATTACTCTCGTGGGAATCATAGGTTTGGCATTTAATTCGTATTGTTACTTTTAGGCCACTTGGATGGGGACTTGGCTAACAGCAGTTGAACACCTTAACCTTTTCGAAGAGCTTTTAAGCTGCAGAGTCCTGTACGTACTTTCGTCCTTATTAGGATGTGGCATGTGAAGCTTTTGTCGGAACTTGTTCGGGAAACTTTTGTGCTTGTCAAAGCTTTTTCTTGGCCACTTTTTTCACAATTTGCGCACATTTTGAAATTTCACGGCGAAGCCATTGTAGGGTTAGTTGAGGTAAAAAGGATACACATTTACCTGCTACCCTACAAAAAAGCTTCTTAATAAT